CACTGGACATTTAATAAAACTGTCAGAACGTAGTCCCTGGACTGACATCTACAGCTGATGAACTTCTGGAGGAGTCCATTCAAAATGACCACAGCAAGTGACTGTAGTGGCTAAACTTCAGCGAGTTCAACTCTCAGAGTAACAGCTGAAGGCAGCACCTCTTATTATCCACCTGAACAGGCTCTGGCTCTTCCATTAACCTTAATGTGGCCCGAACTGCAACACCCCCACCCCCCAATAAATGTTATATGACAACAACTGGCTCAGCACCGTGATGTGCACTATTACTTTTATTGGCATTTCGAGTTACCATGGCAACATAATTTGCTAACAAAGACGCCATTTTTTCCCATTGAAAAACACTGACAGACCTCTTCACAGCCTCAGACACAGTGAAGAGGTCCCAGAATAAAAACACTGATTAACTTTTGGAGCCATTTTGGTTCAAGATGGCTGCCACCGCTACCTCTGAAAACACAAAATTGACTATAACTCAGTCACTCTTTGAGATATTGAGCTGAAATTTGGTGTGGTTGTAGCTGAGAGTGAAGCCCAACAAATATTGAATTCAAATCAAAAATCCAAGATGGCCACCAAAGCTACCTTTAAATGGATTTAACTCAGTTATATTTACACATATAGAGCTGAAATGTGGTTATAGTGGAGAACGTCGCCCATCACAAACTGAATCAAAATCAAAAATCTAAGATGGCCACCACAGCTTAAAAGAAAAAAACATTATAACTTTTTGATTTTTTTTTTTAACATGTTGAGCTGTAATTTGGTGTGACGGTAGCTGAGAGCAAACCCCTACACATACAGTGGGAGAAAAAAATATTTAGTCAGCCACTGACTGTGCAAGTTCTCCTACTTAGAAAGATGAGAGAGGTCTGTATTTTTCATCATAGGTTCAACTATGAGACAAAATGAGGAAAAAACATCCAGGAAATCACGTTGCAGGATTTTAAAATAATTTATTTGTAAATTATGGAGGAAAATAAGTATTTGATCAATGACAAACAAGATTTCTGGCTCTCACAGACTTGTAACTGCTTTAAGAAGCTCTTCTGTCCTCCACTGGTTACCTGTATTAATGGACCAGTTTGACCTTGTTATCTGTATAAAAGACACCTGTCCACAGCCTCAAACTCTCAAGAGTCCAAACTCAACCATGGCCAAGACCAAAGAGCTCTCGAAAGGCACCAGGAAGAAAACTGTAGACCTGCACCAGGCTGGGAAGAGTGAATCTAGAATAGACAAGCAGGATGGTGCGAATAAATCAACTGTGGGAGCAATTGTAAGAAAATGGAAGACATGCAAGACCATTGATAATCTGCCTCGATCTGGGGCCCCACGCAAGATCTCATCCCCTGGGGTCAAAATGAGCATGAGGATGGTGCTCAAAAATCCCAGAGCTACACGGAGGGACCTGATGAATGACCTGCAGAGAGCTGGGACCAAAGTAACAAAGGCTACACACTACGCAGAGGGACTCAAATGCTGCAGTGCCAGGCGTGTCCCCATGCTTAAACCAGTACATGTCCAGTCCCATCTGAAGATTGCCAGAGAGCATATGGACTGGGAGGACTGGGAGAATATTATATGGTCAGATTAAACCAAAACAGAACTTTTTGGTAAAAACTCAACTTGTCGTGTTTGGAGGAAGAAGAATGCTGAGGTACTTCCCAAGAACACCATTCCTACTGTGAAGCATGGGGGTGGAAACATCATGCTTTGGGCTGTTTTTGTGCAAAGGAGACAGGACGACTGATCCGTGTTAAGGGAAAAATGAACGGGGCCATGTATCATGAGATTTTAAGCCAAAACCTCCTTCCATCAGTGAGAGCATTGAAGATGGAACGTGGCTGGGTTCCAGCATGACGATGATCCAAACACACAGCTCGGGCAACGAAGAGTGACTCCGTAAAAAGCATTTCAGCCACAGTCTGTGCAAACCTGGTGAAGACTTACAGGACACGTTTGACCTCTGTCATTGCCAACAAAGGTAATGTTACAAAGTATTGAGTTGAACTTTTGTCATTGATCAAATACTTATTTTCCATCATAATTTACAAATAAATTATTTTAAAATCCTGCAACGTGATTTCCTGGATGTTTTTTCCTCATTTTGTCTCATAGTTGAACCTATGATGAAAAATACAGACCTCTCTCATCTTTCTAAGTAGGAGAACTTGCACAATCAGTGGCTGACTAAATACTTTTTGCCTCACTGTAAAATGGATCCAACGCAGCAGTCCTTGTCAAAGTTCCTGCAGGAACTTTCTAGTTTTAGATTGAAAGTCTGGCACGAGACGTGGAGGGTGCAAGGCTTCAAGAGAAGCTAGGCCCTTCATTTCTAACTAGCTTTGACCAATAGCTGATGCAGATACATGATCCTCACTCATCTGGAGTAATGATACAAACTTAGTCACCCAGAAAAACAATAAAATACTAAAGATCTGTTCACATTATCCTGTGTTCTTTCCAAGCTGCAGCTGGGCCACATCTAACCGTATCCCAGACATTTATGTATTTTATTACTGATGTCATGTCAGTCCAATCAAACGCCTGCAGATTAAAGCCTGATCAACCTGCTGCAGTGTCCTTACCTACGGCTGAGAGGTTGGGCAGGACGAAGGTTTTCACAACCTCCTGGGGTGACAGAAAGCTCGGTCTCGTCTCTTCTCCCTCAGACATCGTGTCAGACGTCATCAGCAGACCCAGAAACCTGAGGAGCTGTTCCTTTTCACTGACCGACAGGGACTTGGTCCTGATTGTTTCCTGTAAACACCTGCAGAGCAAACTGTTACCGCTCACATCTCCCTTCGCTCTCTTGGGTCCTCGGAGTCCAGGCAGCTGCTGCAGGATGCTGGCCATGAGACCGGACGCTCCCTTGTTGAACACAGCTGAGTAGCAGCAGGACTTCAGCGCTGCCTCTGGGTTCTGAAAGGCAACTCTCGACACCAAAGAGACCGCTGTGCTCAGGTTACCCTGCGACGGGGCTGCAGAGGCCCCGCCCCCTCCCTGAATGATGCAGTTGAAGACCATGTTGAGTTCCTGTTGGAACCCGTCTGTCACAGGTTGGGGGACGGAGCAGCTGAAGAAGCCCCTGCTGGAGAACCTCAGCATGGCAGCCAGCACTTTGTTCTTGTCTTCCAGAGACAGAGCAGAGAAAATGTCTGCAGAGATTTTCATCACTTTCCTGCACTGGCTGAAGTTTAGGCTCTCCGTCTGCAGCCGAGTCATGAGGGTGGAGGAGAGGCTCAGGAGGGTTGTGGGCTGCCTGAAAACTGCTTGGTTCTTCTCCAGGCAGTCCATCCAGCAGCTGTCAGAACGGGCCCAGGAGGCCTCGCTGGCAAACAACGCAGCGAAGCTCTCGTAGTCCTCCAGGCGGTGGCTGATGATGCAGCTGCTGACCTGGAGCTGCACTTCAGGAGAGATCTTTATAGCAGGGAACGCCAGAGACTTTAGCAAACTTATGAGTGTGTTCTTCTCCTCCTCAGCTTCAGAAGCTTTGTCCAGAGCGATCAGAACTCTTTGGACACTCTGTTGCAGCTGGAATGTGGGGAAAGATGGATGTGAGCAGTCGTCAACTCTGAGCAGACCTTTCTCCTGCCAACACCGTGCCAGTGCTGCTACAATCATTAGGGCTTCGCTCAACTTTATCCTGCTGGGCTGAAAACGAGACGGGGAGTGAGAAGCACGGAGGTCTCTAAGAGCTTCTCGAATAAGTTGAGGACTCGGAACCTTATTGTCACTTCTGGTGGTGACAGCTTCACACAGTACGTGCAGCTTCTCTTTGACTGGAAGGACAACTTCCTGCTCCATCAGGAAGGATGTGTGAAGAGTGTCCAGACAAACAGACAGGGACCGCAGGCACAGGTCTGTGGAGGACACGTGATCTGCCAGGTCTTCAAGGGCATGAAGAAGAATGTGCAGAACCTCAGTATTAGCCGAGGATGCTGGTAAATCCGACGTGTCCAGCTTCAACCTTTTTGCAGCCTGCGGGGTCAGATGAGGGGAACCTGCAGAGAGACGTGCAAACTGGTTGGCAAACATCATCTCTACGCTTCCTTCTGTCCTCGAGTCTTCGTCTCTGCCTTTCCACAGTTCCCACCACACATCCAGAAAAAAGAGGACGTCATCTGCCCCGATGGGATCAGTCCTCACATGTTCTGCCAGCAGTTCGAGCTCTGCGCAGAGCTGAGCTACAGGAAGACGAAGGAGAAGAGTGGCAAAAACATTTGCAGCTGCAGTCGATTTCAGCAGCTCCAGCAAGACGACGCGGTTCACCTGAGGAAGGCTGTTCTGGAGGGAGAAGAAAGGATTCTCCTTCCATGCCTTCTCAACGTCCTCCTCGGCCTCTCTGCTCAACAACTTTAACCACACAACACAAACAATCTTCTTTATCCAGGCTTGAGCTTGAAGACTGGGCTGATCCCCAGATTCATCTGTGCCACAGATTTCTCTGAGGGCCTGCAAGACCGGGTGCTTCACACGGTTCCAGTCTGCTTTCTGAATCGTGCACAGGGAAGAGGGGAGGCACAGTTTATCTGCCAGGAGGAACGCCCCCTGAACAACTGCTGAATCTGAAAACACATGAGAGCAAGAGTTACAGTGACCCTTAAACTCACCACAGTGGATTTACGACCATCACATGGTTACATCATGCTTTAAAGTAATTTCTTCAACAGTTCTGGTGGACTGTGTCCATCAAACTGTCTTATAATAAAACTATTTTGATTCCCCTGTTGTTATTGGCAAACCAATATTGTTTTTATTTGTAATGTTATTAAAATATCTCATGAATTACTGGACTGATTTTACTGTCATTTCAAATGAATATTTCAGCCCTGACTGACTTCATTGATGCTGTTCATAAAGCATATTTGAATTTATTCACACAATATTTATTATAATTATTCTTGGCTCAAACAACTGAGTTTAGGATGTTCCTGGTAGCAGGGTCAGCCCCTAAAATGAAAAACAAACAAAAATGTACCCCTAACTTTTTTCTTGGTTATGGGATCGTAATAATGCAACTTTGAATTGATAAATAAGTTAATTAAATAGGCTCTAGTCATAAAAAGGAAAATTACCCAGAATTCCGTCTGTCATCTTGTTTTGGTATAACTCTGAAGTTTTGCTCCAACAAAAGCTGCTTGATTTTCCTGAAGGTGCACAAACACTTGTCCTCCAACCTAACAGGCTCTTAGTTCATACCATACGCCCGAGTATGTGGGAGCCATTAGCATAGTTGAAGAAATGACTCTTAGTTCATTTATCTACGTTCCAAAAATTAACTAATTTGATTTTTCAGCACATCTTTGTTCACCAGCAAAAATGTTGAAATGGAAATGACAAATTTCTGCAGAAAAAAAGCTTAATTTTGGCGTGAATAAAAGGTTTATTACTAGTTAGTTATTAATATAACTGATTAGTATTTTTGTAACCACCAACAGAACTTTAATAGCGCAGCCCATAAAAAGACTAAAGAGAAACGGAGAGTAAAAATGTTTTTACCTTTGTTCATAATCAAAGCTCAGCTGCGGAGGGAATCCAGCTGTTTCACTGCGGATCCGTGGGAACCAGAACAACCCCTAAATACACAGTATTAATTCAAAATGAACAGCAGTAAGTTGACAGAATCATTGGCAGTGTGGTTTGTAAAAAAAAGCGCTTCCGGTTTTTCTAAGGGCTTGTGACGTCAAATAAGTGCGACACGCTGAGAACCAAGAAATTTCCTCACAGCGACGCCTCTGGACACATTCGGTGCTACAGGCCTGCCGGTTTCATTAAAAAATAAGTAGAAAGTGTACCCCGAAATGTTTTTTGTTTGTTTTTATACAGTTTAAAAGTCTTATAGATGTGTTTGTTTTCTGGTGCTGCAGCTTAAAACATGATAATTGTTGAGCATATGTTAACACACAAACATGAAAATAACAACTGAAGACATTGAAGTAAGCAGTGAAGTTATTTGCATGCAATCGAATATAACATTCAAATAGTTTAGAAGTTTTATCGTGAAACGTAATGCTCAGCCGTCATGTGATACGGGCTGCAGGCAGAGCAAGTTTTTTTTCTTGTAAAATGAAAGTGAAAGCTTCCTCAAACTGTGCAGCCGAACCAACAAGCAGAACCACAGGACCGATGAATAATCACCATGAGTCCACTGTTGGACTCTCTTGTTTGCTGTTTTGTCTTAGCAGGTACGTTTGAATCGATATTACTGCAGAGATGAGAGATTCAGGAGTTAGTTTGTGTTTATTCAGCAGCAAAACTGAATTCCCAGAATAAACCCAAGGCCTGCTGTGGTGAATGTAAGTTGTCTGTGTGTGTTTTAGGTGTGCACTGTGTCCAGCAGGTGCAGTGGCTGCCCTGTCAGTTCACTGATGAACAGGTGACCAGGAACCAGGAGGGACATTTTGACACTCACCTCATCCACAGACAGGCTATGCTTCAGTTTGGTCAAAAAGGAGACGCTCCTCTTAATCCCCATACCATCACTTTCCTGATAACCGGTAACATACTGAGCTCTATAGGTCAGGACGATGGCACTAAAAACTGTTGTAGTTTATTATTTCTCATTCTGTCTTAGGATCCAAGCTGGACCTGAGGCGATATGTGGACGAGGTGGGAGCAGAGCAGCTGGAGTGTGAGCTGCGTAGATACAGCACAGAGGGTATCCATGTCCACTGGCCCAGTCAGGAGGCCAAGGAGTACAACCGCTGGTTCACCTGCACCCTCAGGCACAATCAGGGCCGTTTCACGGTCACCGGCTTCCTCAGACATCCATCCGACCACGCTCCACCAGGACAGCAGGACTTCCGCAGCTGGTCTGTTATCACTGACACAGAGAAGCTCACAACAACAGGTAAGCTCAGCACTTAAATAAACAGTCATGCTAAAACTAAGTCCACAGTCTTTTAATTCTGGGGTTTTACAAATCAGATCATAATAAAATAATCTAAGGCCTCATGTGACACGTACTGTACACACACAAAAATGGCGTATGTGCCCTTTACTGTACGAAAGTTCATGTGTCAGTACTATATATATAATAATATAATAATAATCATTTTATTTAAAAAGCGCCTTTCATGACACCCAAGGACACTTTACAGTAAGAACAAAGATCAACAGGAATAAAGAATATAAAATACATACAGAATATAAAATGCGTAAAGAATATAAAATACATACAGAATATAAAATACATACAGAATATAAAAAGCGTAAAGAATATAAAATACATACAGAATATAAAATGCGTAAAGAATATAAAATACATACAGAATATAAAATACATACAGAATATAAAATACATACAGAATATAAAATACATACAGAATATAAAATGCGTAAAGAATATAAAATACATACAGAATATAAAATGCGTAAAGAATATAAAATACATACAGCAAAGTTAAGGATAAGCGAGTCTAAAGAGATGTGTTTTCAGAGCAGTCTTGAATATAGAAAGAGAGTACTGGAAGGACTGTGGAAATGTGCACACCCTCTCGCCGGCTTCATAACTGGCTCACACGTTTACAGGTTTTGGGCACTTTGAGGGCGTGCTGGGAAACTTACTGGTGTGAAAACTAGTATTGGACACAACTGAGGTGTAAACTATGAAGTAAGATGTGCTTTGTTGAGCTGAAAGTCAGAGTTGATCAGTGTTGAAGGATCTGTTTAGTTAGATCGCCATGGTAACAGACTGATAAACTGTCAGGGAGAAGCTCAACCTTTTAAGAACATGCTTCCCTTCCTTCAGCTGCTTAACCTGATTGAAATGCTGTGGTGAGGCTGTCAGAAGAACAAACGTCTGCAAATTTCAATGAACATTGGAAAGAAGAGTCGGCTCCTCCACAGTCGTGTGAGAGACTGATAAAAGTCCTACAAAACAACCGTAACTAAAGGTGATTGCTGCTAAAGGAGGTTCTACAAGCTAATGGATGAATTAAGTTTTCCCTCACAGCTATTTTTAAATTGTATTTTGTGTATTAAATAAATAATATAAAGAAAATAATAATGAAATGCTGGAATGTGTTGTCCAATACCTCACCGAACTCAGATGAGATGATACAACTACAAAGTCCTTCATCAATCAGCTGCCTAGGGAGTCACGGTGCCGTGTGCAACTAAAGGCATCCTTCTGTTTAAACCTGATGTTTGTGATGGACAAACCACGATTAGCACAGAAGTCCAATACCAGAACACGGCTTGAGTTCAGGGGTTACCCCGTGTCTACCCACGTGGTGGTTCTCTTTATCAAAACTAGGGACCGGAGGGTGTTCCAGTGACGGGTATCACAGTCCTCGGCCTCCTTGGTAAGATCTATTTAGGGATAACAGGCGATTATGGTGGCGATTTCACCACCTATACTGACTGATGAAAACAATAAATAAACTTCCCTTTTTCTCTAACGTTGAATGTAGCACATCATTTCATTGTCATACAAGTTTTACAGATTTTCCGTATACGAATTTTTCATGTTTACAAAAGTGAGCATCTGTGAATTGAACCAGTCTGGGGGGGTCGTGGGCATATCTCCACCGGAAGAAAAGTAAATCAATAATCTACTCAAAACTGTGCATTTTCCAGCCTTTTGAAGAGCATTTTAAAATGTTGTAAAATCTTTAAAGTACAGTTTACTTGTTGAGAGCAGCACAAGTGTAAATGCCTCTACCAGAAAACACATGATTGAGAAACTTGTGTAACTAAATGTGTCGCTAAATAAACTACAACTACTTCATAATAACTAAGTTGTAACGTCAGAATTTGGTAAATACTTGAATCTCAGATTCAGGAGGAACAATGCAGGTTTCTTCAGCTGTGGACCAGCTCGTTACCTTCAGAAAGGTCCTCGGGGGGCATGGGAGTTTGTCCAACCAGTCTACACGTGTGTTGTGGACTTGGAGAAGACATTTGACTGTGATGACTGAATGCACTGGGGAGTGCTCTGTGAGTATGGGATTGGGGGTCCATTGCTACAAACTAAATAGTGTGAGAGTTTGTTTGCATTGTCAGCAGGAAGTCAGACCTCTTCTGGATGAAAGTCCAACTCTGCCTGTTATCACCAGTTCTGTTTATAACTTTTATAGATACATTTTTTCAGTACAGCTAGGGGAAGGTGTCCTGGCTGGTGCTCACAGGACTCCACACTTTCTGCAGATAATGTGGTCCTTTGGGCGTACCTCCAACTCTGAAGCCAAGGCCCTCAGTCTGAAAACGACAGACTTTGGGTTGGGAGTAAGGTGCTGCCTCAAGTGGGGGAGGTTATGTATCTGTTTTACTTTTGCCCAAGTGAGGGAAGAATAGAGTGCAACATCTACGGATGGATGCTGCTTCTGCAGCTGCGTACTGTGTACTGCGTACTGTGTACTGCGTACTGTGTACTGTAGACTAGTACAACCCTGTACTGGTTTGTTGTGGTAAAGAGGGAGCTGAGCTACAAGGCAAAGCTTTCTGTGTATCGGTTGATCTACGATCTTGCACTCACCTGTGGTCACAAACTCTTGATAGTGACTGATGGATCTAGATATTGGATAAATGGGGTTGGAAAGAGTTTTCTCGGCACATAGCTTGACTTTCACTTAGAGATAGGATGAGAAGCTCAGTTATCCAGGATAGACTCAGAGTAGAGCCGCTGCTTCTCCACATCTAGACATCATCTTGTAAGGCTGCTCCTCCATGGGGAGGTATTTTGGGCCTATCCAGTTGGGAGGAGACGTTGGGGAAGACCCAAGACATGCAGAAGACACTGTCTCAGCTGGCACCTTAGAATCTTCCTATAGGAAAAGATGGAGGTGGAACAAGATATCTGGGCCTTCCTGCTCAAGCTGCTTCCTTGGTTTCCAGACTCTGAAACGAGCTGCAGACAATGGATGGATGGTTAGATTTGAATAATTTTAGAACCTGGTAAAGATCAGATCTTTTATATGTCTTGATAAGTAAAACCCTAAAACCTAAAGCTTATAAGCTTTTTCCCCATGGCTGCTTAAGTTCATCTCAGTTACATATCTCAACAGCCACTGCAATGTGTATTAAAACTAAGCCTGTCTTCATGTCTGAATGTGTCTCTCTTTGCTTCTGTCTTTGTCCCATCTGTTCCCACAGTTGCAATGGTAATCAGAACAGAAACTCCATTAGTGAAAGCCAGCCTGGGATCTCAGGAAAAGCTCCACTGTCAGTTTAACATCGACCATCGAGGAGCGAACGTCACCGTGGAGTGGCACAGGCAGCACCATGGAGAGAGGATCAAACTCTTCAGCCACAGCAGTCGCACCAAGCAGACCCAAGGCTCTGGTGTTGGGCTGAAGGCCCTCGCAGGAGGAGATGCCTCCTTTACTCTCCCCTTCACCAAGATGAAAAGTGAAGGAACCTACATTTGTTCTGTGCTTGTGAATCCACTGTTTGGGAGTATGGATGTAAATGTGCACATTGAAGGTGAGAGAATGAAGTGACATCTCGTAGGTCCGGTCAGAAAGCATCGACAGTCATTATTTATGCTGCTTAATGTTTGGAGAAATGGATAGTGTCATAATAACTTCAGCCTGACTCCTCTTTCACAGTTGCTGTACTTGTTAAACAATTGTTCACAGATTTATGAAGCTGCAAATTACTGCTATTTAATATTAAGAAGAAATGATTAGCAGACATTAATCTGATCCCCTTCGTGTTTGACGAGGTGAGGTGGACCGATGAGGTCAGACATGTCTGTGAAGTACAATGTTACAAACGACATCTGTAGTGAGAGTAAGTAGCAGGTGGAAGAGAGGATAGAGAGGGGGAGGAGAGAAGAGGAATAAAATTCAGCAGAAGACAGACAGCAAAGTCTAGAAGGTACACCAGAAGATGCAAAGCACTCATTAGCAAGAATAACAGAAAGGCTGGACTGGACTTTGTCAAAAAGTACAGAGAGGAGTCTAAAAAACATCAGGGCCAAAATTATGGACTGACGAGACAAGAATTTATCTTTACCAAAGTGATGCAAAGCTCAGAAACCTTCTGATCCCCAACACATAATCTGAGTGCAAAGTCTTGTTTATATATATTTTTATATTAACTACTTGGAGTCAACTCTATCTGCTAGCAAGATATCTTATGAACCACTAGTGGATCTCAACAACTAAATAATTTTTGCAGCCGCTCCAATTCAAGATGGCCACCACAGTAAACTTAGATAACGCAAAAATCCGTACATTTTTAAGAAGTGTTGCAAAAATCTGGTCATTCCTAACATACTCTGAACGTGAAAATACACATAATGTTATTTTCAAAGTTTAACTGAAAGAGATACAACTCATTTCACTAAAGATGAGAGGTCTTTAATTAGTATTTGTGTTTACAGACGAGGTAAATTTTCTGTTTGTCCCTCCTCCTCTCAGAACCTCCCCGTGTCTCTCTGAACGTGGGCCCCATCTTGTTGCTGCAGGAAGGCAGTGAGCATAAGGTCATCTGTGAGGCAGAAAAGTATTACCCTCTGGATGTGGCGATCGTGTGGTATGAGCAGGACCCGGCAGCGTTGGATCAGCGTGTTGGCGCTCCTCTTCCCAAAGTTCTGCCCAACATCCTGCTCTCCAGCCACAAACACAACCAGGACATGACGTACTCTCTGTCGGCCTTCTTCTACCTTCAGGCTTCAGTCGAAGCATCTGGGAAGCGGTTTGTATGCAGCGTTTCCCATCACTCTCTCAGGATGCCCATCAAGAAGAGCTTCATCCTGAAAGTTGAAGGTGAGATTAGAGGGCTCTGCTGCAGGGCTGTGAACTACTACGAGGTGGCAGCAGAGAGTCATGTCCCTTATCTGATTTGTTCTGTGCAGAACCAAGCAGCTGGATGTTTGTCATCACTGTCAGCTTCATAATTATCACACTGATGGCTGTTCTGGTTGTGATGCTGCTCTACTTGCATTCAGGTGAGTGACGCCCCTGAACAAGCATAACAGGTGAGACAGACAGCTGTAGAGACAGACAGGTGTAGGTGTAGAGACAGAC